GTTATTCAATTTAGCATTCGATTAAAGATTGGTGCATGCCATATAGTTTGCAAGAGAACAGTAGAATAAGCTGGGTGTTTAGGAGTCAGTCTCTGAAGGAAATTGGAAGGAAGGGAAGAGAAGGTGAAGTGAGATGGATGGCTTCCTAGAGTGTTTGCAAAGGGATTTTTTTTTTGGTCCATTAATATAGAAAACATAAGGATGTCCAAGCCTTATTTATGATAACTTTACTTAATGTGTGTCTTGAGGCCAGATCATGCAGATGAGGGCGGTTGAGAGAGACTGGAGAGGATTCTTGGGCCAAAAACTTGGTTGGTAAGATTTTGACCAGACATTCTGCCGCCTGGTGATTCGTCTTTGTATCTGAAGTTAAAAAGGTTAGCTTTGTCCTGAGAGTTCTGCTCAGTTTATGAATAAAAATAGACAAATCCGCTACGGAGGCATGACTGGATATTTTCATAGCATTGTTGTAGGTGGAGATCTGTTCTATCATAATGTACTTGCAGCTTAATTTTCCTCCATAAGTACTCTGACTTAAAACACTTTCATTTGAGCTGGTGTATTTCTGCATTCATCCATGGATTTTTATGAGTACACTTGTTTTTTCAATTTAACTAAAGTAAAAGTGTCAAGAGTTTCCTTTAATCTAGCACTAAGATCAGAGACTGGATCATTGCAGGAGGAGTCAGGGCTGTTTTCATGCACTATTATAGATATTTTAAACTTCCCAACAGTTTTTGAGTTAATGTAAAGCTTTTTCAAATGATTTTGTATGTTACTATTGAAATATTGAAAGAATACACAAAAATGATCTGATATGAAAACAAAGGAAATGAGGGACCCATTTGTGTTTAAACGTTAAACCTTAAGCCCAAGATTTAAAGTAGGTAAACATTTAGTGATTACCAGATCCAGCATGTAACCTAGCCTATGGGTAGGGCAGCCCAGATGTCAAATGAATTGCATTGCATTACTGTCTGATGGATTATCAATATGTAAGTTAAAACACGCCACTCCTCCTCACCTGTCCTGCCTTACTGTATGCATATATTTGTAGTTTTCAGCAGGAGCTTCAAGTAGAGTTGCTGTGCCACTCTCACTGAACCACATTTTCGATATAAACATAAAATTAAATGTATGCTCTATAATAAGGTTCCCAATCAGAAGTGTTTTGTTATTTAGTGACCTTGCACTGAGTAAAGCGAGATTTACTTTATTGGCTTTCTATACAACGTGTTTGAGGGGGACTGGTCTTTTGTAAGGGTACAGGAAGGCATGGTGGCCATGCATGCTTTTCTGTGACTTTTGAATTACACAGGGTTTGATTGCTCTAATGGCATTAGTGACACAAATCTTCTGAAATCTTTGCGTGTGTGTGTGTGTGTGTGTGTGTGTGTGTGTGTATGTGTGTTTTAACCATGTTAGTATTGCGTGAAATGTTTGAACTATCTTTAGTGACCAGTTTAGGCATCTTTCCCTCTTCAAGGCTAGTAGAAGATTTAGCAGAGAAAAAGGGAAATGGTAGAAATTGAGGAGCTGTGTCACACATCCCTCCGGCCCTGACTCTCTGGGGGCTTCAATTCCTAGAACCCTCTAAGTGAACACATGACTGTGACGTCACCACAAACCACCTATCAGAGATCTGCTTCACTGGATTGCTTATCCACTCACCTGTTTTCTGTGTCATATGATCTATGTTAGATAGTTTATAAGCCTGGGCTTTAGTTTTAGTCTTTGTGAGGTATTGCTTCTCGTCTAGAGCCAATGAGCGTTCTTTCTTGTGTGTTTGTATAGTGTTTGGGTTCTGACTTTGCTTCTCTGGCCTAGTTCTGTCATGTTACAACCTGATTGCTGTCGACACTTCTTACCCATTGTTTACCACAGTTACGTCAAGTCAGACCTGGTGTAGTATCTTCTTAATGTTCTTGGACAGGATGATAGACCCAAGGCGGCTTGAGTGTAATCTGTCCCTGCAGTAGAAGGCTGGTCACTCCCATAAAACACTCCAGTTGCTCATGAAGCCAGTGTCATTATTGCACCAAAATTGAAGTCAACAGTGAATCATGTGGAGCCTGCTGAACACCTTGTTTCTTCTTGGGTAAGTGGGCAGAGATCCTGAGATGATGATCCTGGTCTTGGTCATCTTCTTAATGGTGTCTAGAAATTAGCCAAAATGCTTCTTGAGGACTTTGCACAAGTGACAGCAATGTTGCCTCTAAAGCCATCTATCAGATGTCTGACGATGGAGTCAGATTATTTAACATTAATAAAACACTGCCCTGAGTCGCTGTCCAAGGTGCTGAGGCAAGCGGAGAGCTGAGGGCTTCAAACTGATTACTGAAGATTAAGTCCTGCGGAGGAGGTAGAGACCCCTTCTTTTCCCGGCCACGTTGGCATTCTCAGCCCTGGTCCAGCGCAGATGTGAAGTTGGGGGATTCCACTGTTAGCTGCAGACATAGCACTTATTTCAAGGTGTCAATGTCACTATTGGACTTGGTGGACCTGAAACTGGACTGTAAAATAAAGAGTCATTTGTACATAGTAATTACACAGCAACTAATTGTTTGCTTGTCTTATTCAGAGCATAACCAACCATAATTTTCACATAACCATAATGTTATGGATCCAATCAAGGTTAAAACACATGGTAAGTGGTGTCTATGTTGCTGTGTAAAATATGCAGGCATGAAGCAAGAAAAATAAAACACTAAGGATAAAAACAAAAATGGAAATTTATTGTATTAAAGCAGTAAACAACACTAACTTACAGAAAGAAAACATAAAAGAAACTTCTCTCTGTCCCTAACTACCACACACACACACACACACACACACACACACACACACACACACACACAGACAGTCACATCCAGGCAGCCATCATTTATAAAACACTGAAGAATCCAAAAGGACAAAAGCATACAACACAGCGGAGAAACTAATGCCCCTTTCAGACATACACAGTAACCCAGAACATTTCCAAGTATTACGAGGAGGAACTGTATGTGTGAACACAAATGTCTGAATTGGTTGTACCAGGCATTACCTCAACTTTATCTTGCCAGCCCCCGAGTATAAAGTCCAGCCCTTTTTAAACTTCACAACAGTTTCTGAGTTGATGTAATGCTTTTCCAGATAATTTTCCTGCACTTTCTTTCTTACTTCCTTATAGACTTGAATTTACAGACATGGTAGGATGCCGGCGAGCCCAAAGTTTTATTACACACTCCTATAACCTAAGACTAGCTCAACCAGTTTGCATTGAGGTCCCTGTAGGTACTAAATAATGAGCCTATGAGCAAATGAAGCCTGGGATTTTAACGGGTTAAACTTTTAGTGATTACCAGATTCGGGATGTGGCTGAGCTTGTGGGTAGGGCTGCCCATGTGTTGCCTGAAATCAAATGTCTCTAGAAGTCTAATGAACTGTATAACATTACTGTGTGATGAATTATCAATATTTAATTTAAAGTCCCCAGAGAAAAGAATTTTATCATAGTTCATAGTTGTTCTATTTTGTAATGTTTTTATTTTCAGATTTTTTTTTCATTCACTGTCTCACTACCATTGTGTGATAAAATGCAATTTACTGGGTTTGTTCAACCCAAATAAACATACTCAAAGATTTTTACAAAACGGTGTGCCAAGGAGTAGAAACATGGTAAACACTAGGTAAACACTAAGGGATTCGAGCTAGGTTAAAAGCCTACCCTAGCTGCCTGGCTTTACCATCTGGGGCTTCTGCATTTTTTGTTTTGTAACAGAAACATGGCTCAGTCACAGCATTCCAGATGTGACCTTTCAGCTAGCAGGGCTAATCACACACACCGCTCCAACAGGATAGCAGCACAATCTGGTAAAACCGGAACGAATAGTGTCACTACTTGGCGCTGGTGGAGTTTTATGATTGTAAAGACCCAGCCATTCTACCTCCCTGGAGACTTTACTACTATGCTCAGTGTCGCAGCTTCGGTATGATAGTGTTGAATGCTGAGCTAAAATGGATAAAGAACATTCTAATATAAATAGCTAGTGGTATTTTAGTGTGTACATGTGCTGCACAGAAAGAATGGCACACAGCAATGCTGCAGAGGTTTTTCAACTACTGAGTGTCACTACTGAGCTGAGAATAGTCCATCAACCAAAATTTCCAGTCAACAGCATCATGTGGATAGACATTAGTGTCTAGTAAATGAATAGTGAAGGGCTAGTGAATAATATAAACTGTGCATAAACAGAACTGTAGTCTCTAACTTTACATCTCAAGATGTGTCTAAGAGACTGGACAGTAAGTGGACACAATGCTTAAAAAATGCTTAAAAACTCCAGTAACACTGCTGTGTATGATTATACACTGATCGGTGAGGATGTTTTTGATGGCAGGAAAATATAACCCAGCGTCACTTCCTTGTCAGTGTCACAACAGTGCTGAGAATGATCCACTACCCAAATAATGCCTGCCCTGAATTGGCCCTATGTGAGTCCTAATTAATGAATGGGGTAAATAAGTGATAATGCAGGGAAACAGATGAAGAACAATATGATAAGTTGACCTGATAAAAGTGTATATACATGCCACCTCCTCTCCTCCTAAATATGAGAAATGTATTTAAATTAAAATAACATCCTATTTCCAAAATGGAAGTATGCAGATTATCAAATATTACAAATATTCTTTGGACATTTTAAAAAGTTTGGCATTATGGATGGAATCAGGGTCGGCACCCAGAATCTTCAGAGCCAAGCAAATTTTTATTTACCAAAACAGAACAGAAGTAAAAGCAAGTGAGGCACAAAAATTGCGCAATATATGGTCAGCCAGTTTACAGCACACTCCAATCAAAGGTCAGATAAAATGTTATTATGAAGGTCCTAGATAAAAAAAAATGTAAACTGCAATTTTGAGACAGATTATAAGTAACTTTACAGCATGTTCACATATTGACCTACCACAGAGAGCAAAGTCTTTTGTTTTTTTCTTTCTTTACCTCTGTTGTACAGTCAGTGTGAGGCTGGTGGATGGTGGAAGTCGCTGTGCTGGGAGAATGGAGGTTCTTCATAGAGGACAGTGGGGAACAGTGTGTGATGAAGGCTGGGATATGAGAGACGCTGCAGTGGTGTGTAGAGAGCTGCGCTGTGGAGAGGCTGTAGATGCACTGAGTGATGCTTACTTTGGACCAGGATCAGGACCAATCTGGATGGATGATGTGGACTGTAATGGATCAGAGTCTACACTGAGGAACTGTAGAGCAAGAGGATGGGGAAAACATAACTGTGATCACTCTAAAGATGTTGGAGTCATCTGTTCCGGTGTGCTGTATTTTCATATATCATTAAGGGTTGCAAACATGGTATATACTTATGCAAGCTTTGGCAGTTAAAAAAAATAAAATAAATCTAAATTACCACTTCTCTCATAATATTTCAGGAGTCAGGCTGGTTGGTGGTTCTCGCTGCTCTGGAAGAGTGGAGGTGCTTCATGGAGAGACCTGGTCCACAGTGTGTGATGCTGACTTTGATAAGCAGAATGCAGAGGTTGTGTGTCGAGAGCTGGGCTGTGGGCTTCCTGTGGAGGTGCTGGGAGCAGCTGCTTTTGGCAGAGGGGAGGGTCAGGTGTGGCCAGAGGAGCTTCAGTGTAGAGGCAACGAATCTCAGATTCACTTCTGTCCAACATCATCTTCACTCAAACACAACTGCTCCCATGACAGTGATGTGGGTCTGGTGTGTGCTGGTAAGAATTACACCTTTCATAGTTGCTCTTGTATTCCTCCAATTCACCCCATGTTTGAAATGGAAATTTATTTAGGGGTTTAATTTTCTTTCTGCATCTCTCTGGCTCTGCAGGAATATACACTAACCAGCCACTTAATTAAGTTACTACCAAATCCACTTTCCAAACAGGAGCACTTTGTAGTTCTACAATTACAAACTGTAGTCCTCCTGTTTCTTTGCATAATTTGTTAGCCCCCTTTTACCCTGTGTGTCAAGATGGGCTGGACCACCACAGGACCACCACAGGACCACCACATAGAAAGAATTATTTGGGTGGCGAATCACTCTTATCACAGTTTGTGTTGGTCATCCTCTATTCCTTCATTGTAGATCTCAGAATGCTGCTTACAGGATGTAGTTCGCTGGATATTTTTGGTCCAGCAGCGACACTGAGAAGTTTACACACTCCAGCAGCACTGCTGTATCTCATCGAGTTGTACCATCTCAATACACACTAACATCACCACCATGTCAGTGTCACTGCAGTGCTGAGAATGATCCACCACCCAAATAATACCTGCTCTGTGGTAAGAAAATAAGTGTGTAAGTAATTAAGTAAATTTTGTTTGAATAGCACATTTCAAACCAAAGTGCTTTACAATCTATGGACAAAATCCACTTAATTTAACAGTCACTGAGGATGTCTGTCTAATGTCAAATGTTCCAAAACCTTGGCACAGTTACAGCAAAGGCCCGATCTCCTTTTAGTTCAAACTGAGACCTTAAATATAAATATGCTGAAGGAGCACATTGTTTTGTACATGGTCTTGCCTCTACATACATTATGGACATGCATGTAGGTGCAAGGCCATGTAGTGCTTTAAAAACAAACAAAGCCATCTTATTTTGGATTCTGTAATAAACTGAGAGCCGGTAAAGAGATGATAAAACTAGAGTAATGTAATATCTTCTTTATACCAGTTAATAATCTGGCTGTGGTATTTTGGAGTAGATGTGAATAAACAAAATGCATTTCATTGACCTCAAGATGCAGCGCATTACAGTATTCTAATCAGGATGTAACAAAGGCATCAATGACAGTGTAAGAAATTATTTAAGTCTGGAGATTGTTCTCAGCTACAGAAACATCTTAACTTCTTTTTTTTATTTTTTAATTAATTTATAACTCATACTTGTGTTTTACTGAAAGGTAGTAGATAAACCAGATATTCCAAGAAGCTCCTGACATAATTGGTAGCACCAAAAAAAAAAATCTTCCTTTTTATTTTCATTCTGGTGTGGGAAACTGTTGGTCATCCAATTTTCATATCTTTGATACACTCATGGAGCCTTTTTCTGGAATAAATTCTACATTTTCAGATTACCAAATTTTAAGGGAAAGTACAACTGTAAATCATCCACATAGGCCTCAAAAGAAACATTACGCTGACGTATACCATGTCCTAAGGGGAGCATATGTATTGAAAACAACGCAGGCCCCAAAATAGACCCATACTCTGCATGTCATAGTAGCAGATGAAGAAAGTATTTTACAGTGTTAACTGAAAGTTGTATTTTTAATATAAGAAATAAATCACTGTGCTAAACCCTTAACTCCAGCATATTATAGGCACTCAATGAGAATCATGAGCAGCAGTGTCAAAAAGCAGCATTCAAGCCCAGCAAATCCAGGATAGAACAATCACTAGAATCAGCATTCAGTCATCAGTCACTTTTGGAAAAGCAGACTCAGTACTATGAAAAGCTCTAGAACCTGACTGAAAAATCTCGAAAAAGATGCGAGTTGTGAAGAAACAGCTTTTTTCAGAACATTTGCAAAAAATTATAGCTGAAAGCAGATGAACTACAGTATGTTGAAAACATGCAGGAAATGAACCAGTGACTAGAATCACATTTATGATAGACAAAACATCACAGCCTCAAAGATAACATCAGCAGTAGAAGTGAAACATGTCACCTGAGAAAAAAGTCAGATCATTGGGAGAAACAGGTTCTAATTTCATAAAGATTACAATATCTGACTAACTCCTCGATGCCTAACTGATGAGCAGAAGTTATGCTGAGATTTGGAAAGGAAGCTTCTCTATAAGCAGCTGAAAACAGAATTGCTGTAGAGGGCCTAAAGGTTCGAGAGAGGTGTTCTGACATTCTAATAGATAAAGGTTAAAGATCAAGAGTATGCCCATGCTTATGAAGCATTCAACATGGGTGTTATGACATGTCTAGGGATTTTACGAAAGTCATAACATGAACAAAAACAAAAGCGAGACGTTTTCAGCATTTAAACAGATCAAAGCAGGTTGTTTTCTTTTCTGCTGTTTACACATTACAGATTCTGTTTATCAACATGGAACAGATGTCAGACTGGGCAAGTGCCAAAACAACAAACATAACCAGTCTAGCTGGGAGGCCAGAAATCTAACTTACCTACAATAAAGGAAAGAAAAAAAAACACAATCTTCCCTAACTCCTTAGCTAGACCAAAAAAGGAAAACAGAAAAGAATAAGATTAAAAAATATTGGCACCCACTTTTATGCTGTAGTCAGCATGATAAACAAAAGTAATACATAAAGAAAAGGGTTCTTAAGTTTGCTGGTAGGCTGCAAAGATAAACTCAAAAGACGTGGCATGAGCTCAAACTAATACATTGCTAAAGAGAAACAACAGACAGCTCTTAACAAGCTACTAAGTTAAGTAGCATGGCTGCTTAGACATTCACCTCAACCTGCCATGGAGGTGATTACAAAGGGAGTCAGAAACAGCAGCTGAAAAAATAGCCCTTGTGCCTGCGGCACAGCCAATCACATGAATGGTATTTCGTGGAGTCGATCACACTTATTCACTCACAATGTAGGCAGGTTCCTAAAAAGTAAGGGAGAGAGAACAAACAAACAAACAAAACAATGAGGCCTTCAATATGCTGAGTGAAGTCAATGAATGATTTAAATCAATAAATGATAAAACCAATACATTTTTAAACTCACTGATCATGGGCTGATCATGACAACATATGTAAATATTAAAATCACCCAAGATCAAAATTCTTTTATTTATTACACATAGGGAAGACAAAAAGTCAGAAAATTCCTTGTTTAATTTTGGTGGTCCGTAGAAATTTTAATAATAAGTAATTCAAAGCCAGTAAACTTTTCAAAGGGAAGAGCACAACATTTGTATTTATTCCTGAAAATTAATACAACCCTTTCATTTTGTCCAGTAGTCTGCAGGGAGTTTAAACAGCTTCAGCCTATTGGACTTAATTCTGAGATTGAATTTAAATCATCAGCACTCAGCCATGTACCATTAGAAATAAAAGCGTCTAGCTCTCGAGACATAAAATGTCATTGAAGATAAGAGATTTGTTTGAAACTAATCTCACATTGCCAACTGGCACATAAACCAGCACAAGGTAAGCCAGGTTCAAAACACTATAAATCTTCACATGCTAGCTCCCTTGTCTTGCTTTCTATGACACTTCCTAAATTGCAGGTTCTAACAAATAAAAAAAAAAATGTGGGTGATAAAATCTCCACGAGTCTTATCCACATATGCTTTCAGAACCAATAGTAGTAGACCTTTAAAGTGCTCCTATATGGTCAGTGGACCTGATAAAATGGAAATTGAGTGTAGATACAAGGAGGTGTACTTAATGAAGTGTCTGGTCAGTGTAAGTGCATCTTTTTACCCCTTTTTATGTCACTCCCATTTTTCTCCCATGTACAGACAGTGTGAGGTTGGTGAATGGTAGCAGTCACTGTACTGGGAGAGTGGAGGTTCTTCATAGAGGACAGTGGGGAACAGTGTGTGATGATGGCTGGGATATGAGTGATGCTGCAGTGGTGTGTAGAGAGCTGCACTGTGGAGAAGCTGTAGATGCACTGAGCGATGCTTACTTTGGACCAGGATCAGGACCAATCTGGATGGATGATGTTGACTGTAGTGGGTCAGAGTCTACACTGAAGAGATGCCATTCAACACTATGGGGTAAACATGCCTGTAATCACTCTAAAGATGCTGGAGTTATCTGCTCAGGTAAGCTATTCAAAATCTTACTACCAAAATTAGTCAAGCCTCCTTTTTTGATCAACACAAATTTGTTCCCTTTCATCTGTCACTGAATTCATTATGAAATATTGAATAATTATGATAATATATTCATAATAATATTTATGAAATAATTATATAATATATTAATTATAATAATATATAATAATATAAATAATTCATACTAATAATTATGAAATCCAATACCTTACTATTTACAACCCTAATACCAAAAAAGTTGTTGTGTAAAATGTAAACAAATGTAAATAAAAACAGTATGCAATGATTTGCAAATCTCATAGACCCGTATTTTATTCACAATAGAACATAGAACACATATCAGATGTTGAAAGTGAGATATTTCATGAAACATATTAACTCATTTAGAACTTGATGGCAGCAGTGCATCTCAAAAAAGTTGGGACAGGGGCAACAAAAGGCTAGAAAAGTAAGTGGTACTAATCATCCAGTTTGTTATCACCGCACAGTTCAAAAGCCTGCATCTCTGATGATGTGGGGTTATATTAGTGCCTATGACGGGGCAGCTTATCTGGAAAGGCATATACAGAGGTTTTAGAACAACATATGCTCCTATCCAGGCAACGTCTCTTTCAGGGAAGGCCTTGCGTATTTCAGCAAGACAATGCTAAACCACATACTGCATCCATCACAACAGCATGAATTTGCAGAAGAAGATTGCACAAATGCTTGAGTATCACAGTTACTGAATGAGTACTTTTGACTACAATTCCCAATGCAGCTTATTAATGTTATTCTCATAGATCTTTATATTGAAACATTAGTCTTTGTGACTGAAACTCCTGTCATTCATACCTCGATAATCAACCCTCTTTCAAAGTCACTTACATTTTGTCCTCTTGCTGTACTGATTGAGAGGCTAACTGGACTTGCTCAGCCTTTTTATACAGGCCACAGGGCAAAGTAAGACTTGC